CACCGGTGAGGCACATCTGGAGGACTGCGTCCAGTTTCGGGCCCCCCACCACAGGAGGGATGTGGACAAATTGGAGAGTCCAGGGGAGGGCAACAAAAATGCTGAGGGGGCTGCAGGGCATGACTTACAAGGAGAGGCTGAGGGATTTGGGCTTATTTAGGCTGCAGAAGAGAAGAGCAAGGGGGGATCTGAGAGCAGCCTTCAGCCACCTGCAGGGGGGTTCCCAGAGGCTGGAGAGAGGCTGTTCTCAGTGGTTGCAGATGGCAGAATGAGGAGCAATGGTCTCAGGTTGCACTGGGGGAAAGGTCTAGGTTGGAGATTAGGAAAAACGATTTTTCCTAAGAGGGCGCTGAAGCACTGGGCTGGGTTCCCCAGGGAGGGGGTGGAGTCTCCATCCCTAGAGGTGTTTAAGTCTCGGCTTGACAAAGCCCTGGCTGGGTTGATTGAGTTGGGTTGCTCCTGCCTCGGGCAGGGGGCTGGACCCAGTGACTCCCGAGGGCTCCTCCAGCCCTAATCCTGTAGGATTCTGATGAAATTGGTTTAAAATAATGACTCATGGTGACGTTGAGCGTCTGGGTGTTGGACCAAGGACCGGACCCCAGCGGAGGCTGTCAGGCTGACGTCTTGTTGCCAGCGTGAGGAGACTTGCCACTGGTGCAGGTACATCGTACAGAAGCATAACCACCAGTTCTGGGGTGGCTTAGCCTACGGCAGTTTGTCCTTCATTCGGCGTACTCAGTTGTAACCTGCTGAGGCAGGGTGACGCCAGGCCCAGTATTTCCAGAGGCCAAAGTCTCTCCTGCACCTAGCCAGGCTTCACGAAGCTCAGCCAATCTCCATAGCTTGATCCGCACTAGATAGATTCTCTTCTCTCGCCTCTTCTTACTAGAACAACAGAAAACACAGAGCTTCAGTCATAGCCTGCACCAGTGAGTGCCACAGGTTAACCACAGGGCCTATGTGAAAAGGCTTTCCCCTCCACCATTGCATTTCCACAGCTTGTCTCCCGTGTGACGTTGTAACTCCAGGAGCGGGCTCCCCGATAGGGTCTGTTTGTGCTGCATCTCCCCAGCGCTGCCAAGTGGCTGGAGTGCCAGCTGCTGTCCTGTCTACAGTGCGTGTCCAGAGCTCTGCTGGGCTGCGGATTGGCTCCATTAGGGGGAGCAGGATACGGCACTGGGCGGCGTCCCTTGGTTTTCGTGCAGGACCCTTTCTTGTGCCTCGCTGGGCACTCGGCCCTTGGCAGCCCCTGGGGTCTGGCTGGCCGAGGGGCCAGGGGGGCTCTTTGCCGGGCGTGGAATGCAGAACATTTCAGCTGCCTGGGGCAGTGTGGCCCAGCGGGAGGGCCTGGGTCGCAGTGGCCTCGCTCCCTTTCTGGCAGGCGTTGCTATCAGCAGGGCGTGTTTTCAAGTGCAGCATCCAGGATGGCCCCGAAATGCCGCAGGCGCACACTGGCTGCGGTTTCGCCGAGACGAACGGACCCTTGGCCAAATGCCAAGGAGCATGGGAGCTGTCAGATGGGGTCAGACTCCGGCCAACTTTGGCGGACGTCCTGCACCTGACAGAGGCCTGGCCCGGACGCTCAGAGGCAGGTGCGAGAAACCCCACAAAGGGCAGTTGTGGGTTCTTCGTCGTCATGGCAACCCCCAAAGGGGGATGTCCTGGCGGATTGCACACCAGCCTCCAGCGAGGTCCGTGAAGAGGGCTGGCTGGGCGTCCCGTTTCCGCCAGCAGCAGCGAGCTCACAGTGCCCTCGCAGCAGGGAGCTCAGACGCCTTCCCCAGCTCTTGCTTGTTCTCTCTTAGGGTGTGTCTAGACTCCGTCGATGGAGCCATGTAGATGAGTTTACTAGACACAGCAAAATGGCCGCCGCGCTGTGCTGATCAGCTGATTGTCGGCTCAGCGCAGTAATCTAGACGGGGATCATCCAACCCAGCTCCCTCTGTCGTCAGATCCTTTATGCCTCAGCATAAATGGTGCTGGGGTCAGCTGATCCCCGTCTAGACTACCGCGCTTGAGCC